ATTCAGAACTAGTTTCGAAACGGAGGGAAGAGGACAAAATGATTGATGGGGACAGGTGCACGCTGGGGTAGGGATGCACGCTAAGAAATGTCAACACTAGTTTTGGTCTTAGGTCCCATTGGGAGAAAAAAGAGAAAAGGTAATTAGAATGTGTGACGTCACCAAACAAGTAAATACAGCAGTGGCTATGAGGTGATTAAGAAATAGCAGAAGAAACGGCATTTTATGAATGTTGCAAAACAAGATGGATTCTGATTAATCTTATAACATGAGGTTAGTCAATGCTAAGAAAATTTTTAAGCCACTGTCCAGGAATTACGCGACAGTAGTGTCAATATCGTTTACGACGAAGTACGCAGTTAATGTCGACGTTGATGGGTAAAGGGTTATTTGATGCTGCTAAAGGAACTCCTTGTCGCACAATAATGAACAGAAACACAACTTGACAGCAAAGAGTGGGGCTGAGTCTGCTGCCATCCCGAGCCGAATCGTTTCGTTAAAATAGGAAGGATACCCTAAATGTCGCACGCGAGGGACTCACGCTAAAGCTGCTAAAGCCCTCCCTGTACGCCGCGTCTTTTGCACGTCCTCCTATCGATAACTTTCCTGGACGTCGCTTTGAGATGAGATAGGAAAAGGCATGGCAGTAAGGAGGGCAGACACAGTGAGAGCAAACAGTACAGTGAACGATTTGAAGAGATTCTTCTCTTCATCGCCTATTCTGTTGTCGGACTACGGTAGTGATTTTAAGTGATACAGCGATGAGACTACAATTTAAATTCGTGAAATGCGGGAAAAATAGCATTGTTGTAAATGCAAAAACCAAGTAAACCAACCAAAACATTATCTAGGTGGATGAATGCTACTTGCGTGTCTGTGTTTGCACTATGCGTCTGTACCGATTTTTCATCTCGAGACCTACAAAATTAGAGACTGAAAGTTTGGGCAATTTATTTAGGTGCGTGTATGGGCCACCAACTCCAAAATGGGCGGTCCTACCCGCGTAGTACCCAGGTGCGGGCCCGCCAAAGTTTTTCTCGGGTAAGTGCTAACTCGGGAACCAGGAAAGCTAGAAAGCCGAAATTTTAAAGGGACATTTTCGGACAGCTCTGGTGGCCAGCAGCAATTCTCTTAGCTAGAAGCTACTGCCGAAAAACCGGTGCCAGTAGTGACAAAAACTGCAAGAAACTATGCGAAAAACGCATATTCGCACCGGCAGTCGGTGCACTGGCCATTTATTTTTGAATTATTACGCTATCTGTGTCAGGTACGTTTGGGATTTTGTCTGGAATATGCCTAAAAGAACCTACTTAAATCGGCCAAAAGGATTTATTTGAAATATGTCTCCAGAGTTCTGCATCTGGAAACTGCTGAGTGTACTGAAAATGCATATCTACCCCAAATAATGTAGTCACAACAGGTACTGATGCATTTGTCTTGAAATATTTGTGCATTTCTGGTGCCGACATATGTCTAGGCTTTGTTTGAAGAGTGTTTAGCAGGACCTCACATCTAAAAGTCGGCGAATGTACTACAAATCTTTACTGACAGAAATTCTTTCAACCCCGCTCTCCCTCCCCCCGCCACCCTTGATTAGTATGTCCCATTTAAAAGAATGAAGGCGAAACTTTACAGCGATTGTAACTCAATGAATTCTTTGCACACAGGGAAAAAAGCCAGCGAGTCACCTTCGGACCTAAATCCCCAATGATGAATTTTCGATGGCATTTTGCCAAAATCTATAAAAGAACTTTTACCGCAATCGAGGGTAGAAAAAGTACCACTTTACATAACAGTGGCGAAGAAAATAACTTTCTTGTGCCTTCGCTTCGCCATTGCGACGTAAACATCAGTTCTGCGTAAAACGCTATCAGTGAAGTCTTGCCAAAATACAAAATGAATAAAAGATTAACAACGGAGCGCTCGTAAGTAAAAATACATTAAAAAATATAGTGGCGAAAAAAACGCATGCCTAAATGCATAATACAATTTTTGACAACGCAAAAATCACTGTTTTCTCCTAATACATTTATCTTAAGTATACTGAT